CTCATGTCCGGTATCTATGGGTACGCGGACGACAGCACAGTTGTGGAGAGATAACAACAAAGTCTTTGGGTCAGTAGAGATCACATCCAGTCCGAAAGAGAGGCCATGGAAGAGCGTTTGAATTTTACATTGCAGGCGGTCTCTTGAATGGGGCGATGCCAATCTTGTGAGATTGAGAAAACACAGGCGTGTCTTTTTGCCGCAAAAAGAAGCCCTTTCAACTTGGCTTCTACTTTCCCAAATGTGTCCTTGGAGTATACCGACCACATTTAGTTATTGGGAGTCGAAATATCCTCAAACCTCAACTTTGGGCGGTTCATTGAGTCTAAAGCCAGGACAGCTGCAAGGAAATTAGGTGTTCTTGCAAAGGTGCGACGGTACTTCATATCGAGACAGCTTCTTACGCTATTCAAAGCTAAAGTCCGATCGTGTGTGGAGTACTGTTGCCATATCTGGGCTGCAAAATGCCATCTGGCTGCCTTGGACTCAATGGAGAGACGTGCGGAAAGGCTTATTGGTGACCATAACTTGGTTAAAACCAACCTTACTAGCCTTGAGCACAGGCGCAGAGTAGCCAGCCTCTCGGTCTACTACAGGATGCATTTTGGAGAGTGTGCGTTGGGGTTACATGATTTGATTCCTCCTGCCTCTTTCCATCATCGGACAGTTAGGCTTTCGGCGAGGCTCCCCCCCCCTTATGCTGTCGACGTTCCCAGAACAAGAACCAAGCGATTTGCTTCATAATTTATCAGTTAAGGAATGGAACAACCTGTCGGCGTCCGTCATTCCGTCCGATTACAACGTAGGCGTCTTCAAGGCAAGAGTGAATAGGTTTTTACTGAGCTAGCGCGCTTACCATCAAAGGCTGCATTGCCATTTACCACCAGGTGGGATGGCATTCAAATGCTGGCCAGTTCTAAATAAAAAAAATCATTTTGCATCGTTTTGGTGAGTCAGGGAAACGGGGTAAAACTTGGCAACACACCCGTTTTGGGTAGTCTTTAGAAACATAGTTATGTTAATTTATAACGAACACATCATCATCATTGAAAGACCCATACGCTTGATTGCTTTGGGATCGTAGGAACAAATCCCATACCAAATTTGACGCCCCTTCGTTGAATTTGGTAAGCACGGTATTGCATCAAGTGACGTGGTCCGTTTTTAGGGCCTCGGTCAAATTGTGGGCTCCACCGCGAGCATAGCTTTCTCACACCCAAATGTTTGTGTAGGATTGATTGTATTTGACTCATGCCTATGTCTAAGGATGCCCGAATCTCATGGTAGGTCACATTTCTGTCTGTTTGGATCATACGGCACGAAACATCGATGTTTTTGTTGTTCACAGGGATGTACGTCCGACCATTGCGAAATTCGTCACTGAGATTGACACGGCCGCGCTTGAATTCCGCAAGCCAGCTATTAATAGCCGTCTGGTATGGTGCTTTATCGCCAAAAGCAGATTGAAGCAGAGCGAGGCTCTGCTGAACTGTCAATTTACACTTAAAATTGTAGAAAATCATACTCCGAAAATTTTCCCGATTTTAATTCATGGTAATGAAGTCACACAATTTTTAAAATGGCGCCACAATGTAAAAAACAATTGACAGTCAGATGAAACAAACTGCATTGTACAGCCAAAGAGTTTTAAAGTTTTACTTCCTTTTTAAATATTGTTTATGTAAGTTGCCGTTTCCGGAAACTTTTAGTGTGATCTATGTAATACATACAACTAACAAAAAGATAAAAATGTGTACAGAAGAAAATTTATGAGAAAATCATGAAAAAAAATAAGTTTAGAAAATAATTACGTAAACTTAAGATTGTGGAAAAAAAGGGGAAATAATTTTTTCGTTTAATCTATATTAAATGTCATTGGTCATAAAGTATCTTAAGTGAAACTCGAATTTCTTCAGGGTAATTTAATTAACACAGCTTTTACATTGCATGCGAATGCAGTTTATTTAATTTTTACGACGGTGTCACGTAATAAAACCATAGTCTGCCGTTATCGTCTCCCGACGGAAGATTGTTTTAGTTGGAACCTTGCCATAACGGCATAAGGAAGTACAAAGTATAATATACATTTTGCATGCCACTTAACAGTCTCAACAGTATATCATAGAATAGGACAGTACATACAGACATCTATACTTTATAGGGTAGTTGGATACTATAATGTTAATAAAGCTTGCACATGATGAATCAACGTGGGAAACATCAATTCTGCATAACATAAATAATCTTTTTTATTACTGTGGTAGGGCAACGCAACAGCTTCTGTTGCACGTGTTCACGCTGGCAACACTGTATACCGGATATGACATTATCTACTCGAGCCAAGGGACACATGGTCGCATGGAGCAGTGGTCACTTGGATATCGGCTTCGTTCCCGGACGGTGATATAACCACTAGTGCTGCTTGTCGTTATAATATTCAAGTTCAGTAATAGTTAAAATATTAGGATTAAGGTAAAATCGTTAGAACTCTTATATCAGAAGTGGGATTCAATAAGAAAACTCGCATTTGGCTCTTCGAACAACCGGTGTCATATTTTCTCCTTGTATACCTACCCTCGTAAAATAAAACAGTGTGTTTTATACTTACTATACGTAATGGTGATAAAATCTTTTTGTTAAATGTAACGAAAGTTTTGGTGAGTACCTTCCAGTTAATTAATTACTTATCATATTTGAGAAAATGTAAAATAGCGATACACAACTGGTTTAACCGGTTAAGCTACTGAGCACTTTAGTAGTTGGAAGATTTAAGGCATGAACTGGTGATGGATATTCATTGTGAACACCACTATTGGTACTTAGACAACGTAGCGATACACGACTGTTGTAACCGGTAAAGCCACCAAAGTTTGATAAATCACAGAAAACTGTGAACGTGGCGATATGCATCCCAGTTGCGAGGGATAAGCCACAGGCTAAGGTGTTCTGAACGTGGCGATATGCATCCCAGTTGTGAGGGATAAGCCACAGGGTAACGTGTTCTGAACGTGGCGATATGCATCCCAGTTGTGAGGGATAAGTCACAGGGTGTTTTGAACGTGGCGATATGCATCCCAGTTGAGAGGGATAAGACACAGGGTAAGGTGTTAATTTTATGAAGGTTACTTGTACCAGACTACAACGCCATTCGAGGACGAAGGCGTGATGCAGGACGGCCGAATGTTGGCGCTGGCAACACTGTATACCGAATATGACATTATCTACTCGAGCCAAGGGGCACATGGTCGCATGCAGCAGTGGTCACTTGGATTTCGGCTGCGTTCCCGGACGGTGACATAACACTAATGCTGCTTGTCGTTATAATAGTTGTTAATATTCAAGTTTAGTAATAGTTAAAATATTAGGATCAAGGTAAAATCGTTAGAACTCTTATACACGCATGGGCAGGCTCGTCCGAGGAAGTACCACGGCCTCACACAAGTACAGCGTGAAGTGGAAGTATTAAACTTTCGCTTTTCGTCGCCTGAGTGAGGCCCACGGGGCCCACATATTTAAAGTTTGTCAACCCATCTGGTGGTGTAGATGTCCATGGGCGGCAGTATTCATTTAACATTCATATATATATATAGCCTCTGATTAGCGTTTCATTTAGCGCTAAAACAAAAAAACCGGCCAAGTGCGAGTCCGACTTGGCCGGTTGTATCATGTCTGTTGTATGGGAGACTCATTTAAATATTTTTTTAATGTTTTTCAGTCTTTGCTGTTTTAGCGGTAACAGAAATACATCATCTCCGAAAATTTCAACTATCTAACTATCACGGTTCATGAGATACAACAACCTGGTCACGGACGGTCATACAGACAGACGAGTCTTAGTAATAGAGTCCTGTTTTTCCCTATGAATATGGAACCCTAATATGGACAAAAAAATGTTAAAGTATTAAATAGTCGCCGACATTTTTACATAATATATCACGTTTTATTTAATTACTTCGTAAGCTGTATATAGTTTATACATAAATAGAATGTCATATTACTTTACTAGAAATCCTTAAAAAAAGTTTAATGAATAGTCATTTTATAATCACTTTGCGTGTTTTATTTCCTTTTAATTTGTTAAAACGCCTTCGTATTTTAAACGCCATAAGCTTTCAAACTGTAACATGGGGATTATGCAGTAAGAACTACTCATGCCTTATGGAATAGCAGAAGTATAATGAGCTGTGAAAATGAACGCTGATCGTGATCGTCTCTTGGCTTGCCCTCTTAAATGCGGTGCTGGATTCGGCAAACTAGTGCACAAAATTCACGGCAAATTCGGGAATCCTGAACGTTAAATTCTAATTTCGAGTAACGGTAGCACCATGTTATTTGCCGTATCTGAAGTGGTTACATTGTGACAAAACAAAATACGAGGAGATTATTTCTTATGTAATATTAGATAATATTAAAATTTTAGAAGACTTTTAGGAGGTATACCCATTAATAAAATTGCAAACTAAAAAACTATATTATTATCGTTTTATGTAAAATAACTATAGCCTCGGCGAAGACACGCTCAGCTTGTGATCTGTTGAAGGAAAATTTAGGAATTTCAAAATAATTGAAACGCAATATAAAATATTTTAATTTAACCACATTATCCTTTGCAAGAAATTTTTACACCTAATCTCTTTTAGGGTACTGTATTATAAGATACTTTTTTTATTTTTGTATATTTTTCGAGTCGATAACTAATCGATTACATGGGAATCGTTAGAAGAATAAATAAATTTTATATTTTTTTATTTGAATAAACATATTAAGTAACGTCATGATCTGGATTTGTTATTGATAATTGCTTCTGTTCAAAAATTTTGCACGTATCTTCGTAGAGTAGAATTGCATGGGCTTTCTGGCATTCATTAATAAAATTTACACATTGAAGTTTATTAAATTTACAATTTGGAAATAAACATTCTTTAAGACACTAACTCGTAATCGAATTCCGTTGACTACTTTTCTGTTCATCTTTGTGCAGACACAACTCTGCATACAGTATGCAGGCAGCGGAGCAGAGCGTGCAGGCCAAAGGTGACTTTGTGTCTGCAGGCACGTGAGCGAGTTGCTTAACATGCTACGCTGCAGTCGTTTGAATTCCTGCATCGTTCGCTGTACGTACGACGTTATTAGAGCTTTGCGCCCTGTCGTCGCCCGTACTAAGTTGCTATTCTTAAAATGAGTTGCTACGAAAGCCGTTCCCGTCAGTCACTTTCAGCTTCATCTTCCAGAGTTCCTAATTAAGTAGGTTAGACAATTCGCATTGTGTTTTGATTAATACGTATTTGAGATGAAAATATGTTGAGCCAATGAGCATGTAGGTTTTACTATAATAACATTTTGTTTTCGCTAAGCAATGAGAAATCGATAATTTTAGAAGATTTTACTGCATGGGAATTTGTTTCAAAATTCGTTTTTGGCATCGATTGTGATTAAAAGGCCGAGCTAAATTTCAGCCAGGCATGGTCTGTTGGGATTCATTCAAATTTGCGTAGAGATGAACTCTGCGTCATTTTGATAAGTTAATAAATCGAACTCTTGCGAGTTCGAAAGTTTGCGATTGGTGTTCGCTTGAGGAGCGAAAGTTGGCGATCGAGTCGCGATGTCCTCGGCCGGGTAAGAAGCGGTCGGTGGACGTCGGCGGCGGCGGGCGCGACGTGGCGGCGCGGCGACGTCGGCGGCGCCGGCGGAGGCGTGCCCCGTCGGGCCAATGGCGCGCCCCCGCCCGCCGTCCCGCCCGCGCCGCTCGACACCCAGCTCGCCAGTAGGTTTGTGTCCCTTTGGCTGACCGCATGACTCCGTATTGCGCTTCTACGCCGTACCCGCTGTGAACTGTGTACGGGCATCGCGCTTCTACGTTCCCCTGCGCAGGCTGCCGCGGTACTGTTGCGATTCCATCCGGCCAGAGTTCCCGTTCGGCGGGACGGGCGCGGACTTTACGCGGGCACCTTCGGGCTGTGTCGACGGAGTGCAGCGCGGCGAGTGCCAGGTACAGTGTCCACGCCGCCGACCATCCGCCCTCCCCCCGCGCACCGCTCGCCGCTGCCGCCCGCGCGTCGCCGCCTCCTCGGAGAGCGGCCCGCGGCGCTCTTGTCGACTATTCACCTCGAATGCCTTAAAGCATCCATACATTAATGACAGCGCAAACACAAACTCAACGCCATTAAAATAAACTTCGTTTAGAAAAAAGCACTGAAATGTTTTATTTAATTTTTTTCACCACTTTTTATATTTACTCTGATATTGATAGGAAGCAATCTAAATAGTTTGGTCTACAGTATCTAATATTCTAAGCATATACTCAATCGTCGAGCTTCGTGTAGGAAGCTTACTTCGAAACCAAACTGAATTACTTTCATATAAAAACACCAAACTGAAAATACTGAAGAAATACACGCGTTCCGTTCGCTCACCGCTACGCGAGATAGACGAAAATCCAATCGCATTAAAGCGCCGGTAAAAGAAGTAAAAAGGGTAGCACGAGATACAAGATTCCCTGAATAAACATAACAATTTCCGCTTCATCGCCTCTGAACGCGGCCAGACAAATTAAAGAACATTTTTCCCGGCGAGCTCTCGCTCCCACTTAAAGCCTCTACTGGCTCCATAAAACTTAACTACACGCCGTAACCGCGACTAATTATTAGGGTGGGTTTACATAACGTATTTATGAGCTAGAGATTTAGCGGCAACGCGACGGTCTCGGGTGGTCTGTTATCCCGCTATTAAAAAGTTGTCCTCCGTAGGCCAGTAAATAACAAAATACGACACACCGTTCGCCTTTGACGCCGCGCTAACGCAGCGCGAAAGTATTCATTTGTTACTTAATTTAATCATTTTCATTTCAGCGTCAGCGGCACTATAAGCCGTCTTTTTATTTTTTATGAATTTACACTCGACACTGTATTTCATACGTAGTGGAATTTATAACATTTGTGTTAAGTATTTTAGTAAGTCGCGTAAATAAAAAATTGGAAGTATGTAAAATAACACATAAAAAATACTCAATGCAAGATAACAAGGAGTAGAAGAATATGAAAAGAATATAAATACTACTGCATTTTATTTTATTTTTACTACACGTTCTTTAATACCGCAATGCTAAGTGATTTATGTTTTTGAGAACTCCTTTTGTTATTCATAGCCTTGTCGTGCGCAGTCAAGATAAAGAATAAATCGATTTATAACGATACATTTTAATATGCGAAACATTCTAAGTTCATTTATATATGCAATAAATTTATGAATAAAAATATACATAAATTTATACTATTTTTTATTTTTTCGTGATTATAAAAACTCTCATTATATAACGTAATAAAATTTCTGTATTCCATGTAAAATAAATTTTCCCTTTCTCGATATGAAATAGGCTAAAAGACATGAAACCATGATTATTATATTTGACGTAGTATTAAAAATATTTTCAAAGACGTTATTATAAAAAAAACTGTTTTACATGACTTCTGCTAGTCAGGTTTCAATGCAAAACAAGCGTTGTCAACAAGATAAGTAAAGTATTTTCTGATTTTAAATTACAGCTTACTATTTTCTTAGTTCAAAGTATTATAAACATATGAGAGTTTTGTACGGTATACCACTTAACGGTTACAGTAAATGGTTGCAATACCGCGTTCCAAAATGTTTCAGTTCAGTTTCACGGGCTATTAACTGTGAAGAAGAGTAACCTCTATCAAAGTCCATTGGATTTTCCTTACGTGAGAATAATACAGAAATGCATACATGGCCCCAAAAGACATGTATAAATATTTAAGATATAAATATTTTGTTTGATTGTTAAATATTCGTGTTGTAAGGAAAATAATGATAAAAAAATTATAGAATGATAATGAAAATATGATAAAATTATCTTGCTACTAGCGAAAGGTTGGGCGATAGCAGTTGAACACAGCTTTACATTGTGTCATACCCAAAATGCGACACAGTTTCAGAGGTAGCTTGAGCTGCAGACTGTTGGGATGCTCTCAGGGGTCTTGATCCGATCGTCTCGCCCTGAAATTATACAAAAATGGAGGGGCTAGCTTCCGTGTGGCTACCACACATCGTGTTGTGCACCAAGTGTTTAGACACACACTCCATTCTGAATCTTTTTACAACATAGGTGAAGTTACAAACAAACAAATATGTCTCAACATTGCATCTTCGTGGTCTGAAAGTGTGAATGAAAATTATTTCATATGAATAAATTTAAAAGTACGTTTTATTGACATATCGATGATATCTTAAAAGGTTGAAAACAATGTTTGATTTTCCATAAATTGATCATAGAAAAATATAGTCACCCAATTGCTCCTTTTAATTTTCCTATTCTATTGAATTTTAACCGAGTGATTGTAAGTGCGTGCCCTTAAGTTACCATTGAGTGGCGCAACACGTGTTCGTTGAAGAGAGCAAAATAAAAGTTAGGTGCTAATTTAGACACTTAACAGTAACAGTGTATCAAAGATAGAAGTCATAAGTAAACGCTGAAAAAATTCATTTCGAATAAAATGCACTTTTGGAAATCAATGGACATACTAAATATTTACATTTATATTAGTCTATTTTTATTTTTATTTAATTCAACAAGGTATACGGTTTTATGGTTCATAGTATAATTATTAAAGTTAACATTTACGAAAGTGACACGGGGTTGACGAAACGCAGGGATGGACAAAAATGATGTAAATATAACGTATGGGAAAATGCCTTCAATAACCTTTTCTATCAATTCTGATAAGCGAAAATAGAGTGGGACATCATACAATTCTTATCATTCAAGAATAAATGTAGTGAGATAGCTAACGATCAATTGCTTTTCACTGCTTTTGAGTATATCGCATTTGCACTTTTTTTAAATTCTAAATATAATAAGCTGCTACAAGAACATGGTAAATGGCTTCTTTCTTCTTCTTCTTATCCTATCGGATTTTTTTTTTTAATTTGAAAAGTTGCCAAACGAGCAGACGGTTCACCTGATATTAAGTGAATACCGCCGCTGATATTAAGTGAATGGATATCTGTTACACCCGAAGGTTCCAGATTCGTTGACAACCTTTTTAAGATTGGGCTCCGGCCACCTCACTTACCAGACGAAACACGAAAGTATTATACTTCCAATTTACGCCGAACTTCTGTGAGGTTGGGGTACATACCCGGACGTGCCTGCCCATTCGTGCAACAGCTGAGGCTGCTGCGTGGCTCTACCACCGAATAAATGTTGGCACCCGCATGTCCGCGACCACCACACGAAACTCTTCTCTCAGATATAGATAATTTATCGCTTTACTAAAACCTGCACATATATTGAGATACATTGTGGTGCTATGTTAGGACATCAATTTAATTGTCTAATAATTCGATTATCACTGTGGCTTTCCTCCAGAGATATCTCAAACAAAATAATCTATTGTTTTTGGTATGGTTTTGAACCTTATGTTCGAAGTGATTTGGAACCCTGTCGCTATATAACTTATTGGACATATTAAGGGAATATTTACCTTATCGTTGGCAAATTAATGTGCGAACATGTTGTTTGCCAAGCAAGTAATTTGATTCGAAATCAGATTGAGTATCGCAGATATGATTCTAACACTTCAAACAAAACTAATATAGCATGAGTTGATACAGAGGGCTAATATTGAGGCAGCAACTTGCACGTTGCGGGCCGACAAGATTGCTCGACGGAACGGCGACGCGACGCCACTTTCAAACTTTAGATGTTTACACACAGCTACGAGGATGATACTCTCGCTAATTTCTGTATTTACGACAGTTCCTTTGATGCTTAATAAGAAAAACTTTCTTATCTCCCTTGATAAACTTCGACGTAGGATTCAGTCTCCTGCTCACCTTCCTACGATGGATTTTTCAATTTCGCAAAGTTATCCTCGCAAGAAAATTGATTACAGTATCTAGAATATTCACGGCATTGCTCTGGATATGTACGTTACGTAACGAATGGAATTTGTTATCGTTATAGGTAGTGTCCTGATAGCAATACCCGTCGGCGGATTCTTGAAATAATAGCGATCGGATTTTCATTCAGTGAGCAATTTCTGTATCTGCGACTTACAATCATGTTTCGGGGGCAATCATGGAATTATTTTAAGCCCTAAATGATCTTAAAAGTAGTGTTACGAGAATGTCTTATGTCCAGTATAGATTAGGCGTTATTTCGATTTGTTTACAATTTTATGACACACTTACAAGTGATATCTGAAGAAGGAGAACATTTCTATTCTGATCTAGTTCTGTAAAGAAGTAATAATTAAAAAAAAACAGGTGTTTCATAATGATTATATATAACTTTGACAAAAAAACCAAAGAGAGTAATAAGGATCTTTCTGTATCTACGTTCTTATTTTGTACTAGCTGCTACCCGCGACTACCTCTGCGTAGAATAGGCTGAAGGCGTAACATTCAGACAGAAAGATAGATATACATAAAATATGTATATAAATGGGCTATATTATTGTAGTTTCATTAAAATCCATTCAGTAGTATTTGCGTGAAAGAGTAACAAACATCCATCCATACATACAAACTTTCGCCTTTATCATATTAGTAAGGATAAGGATTTGTACCCTTCTTTTTCTGTTTAAATTTCGTTTGTTCATATGTTCATTTAAATATTCGACATTGGCGCGATATTAACAAATTATGTTGTAACGTTATATGATGTTTATGACGATATTACGTTAATATCATTAATCAACACTTATCTTTAGGAGGAAGATCGAAATTGATAAATTTCATCGCTCTTTAACACAATTCCTTGTTAATCAAGTGTTGTTTGTCATTTATAAATTGGGTTGCCGCAAATTGAGTAGTAACTTGAAAGTTGAGCAAACGTCCTCGAACTGTATTTATACTTCATTGCTTTAGTTTCGCTTTGATATAGATAACACTGCTATCGTGTATTTAAATTACCTTTTCTCAAGATTATTTCATTTGGTTTTACTACTTTAGTTAAAGTAAATAAAAAGCACAGATTATAAAAGTAAAAGATGTTAATCCATTGACAAGCGAGATCACCATAGGTCATTTACATTTCACTAAAACCTTTAAAAAAAGACAATTTTAATCTTTGTAGTTCATTTTGAAAATTAAAGCTTGCTACACCAGTCACA